CACCCCTCCCAGCTGCCAATCCGTTTGGGAAAAAAAAAACGTTATTTAAGAATTCCTGGAAAAAAAAAACCCAAAAAAAAAAAAAGAAAAGTGAATAAAAAAATGGGTTAAGTAAAAATCCTTCCTGGAGGGTACTCAAAAAAGTTTTAAACGGGGAGACCCCCCCCCCCCCACCCCGCCGAGGCCTCACCTCTTCTCCTTTTATACACCTCTTTTGACAGAAAAGGTACTCCTTTCATATACCTTCGATTGACAAATGCTATCCCTTTCACATGCCTGGGTCTGGAACATTGCATCCCCTTCAACTGCTGTGAAAATATGAAAAAATCACAAAATCAGGAAATTTTCTCTTTTCTATTAGCCCTTTTAGGTCTTTTTACCGACGGAAATAACAGGTTTGGCTGCCCTTTATATACTTCAACTGGTGAAATCCTCACCCTGATAAAGGTACGTACTCCTTTCTGGTCGAACCTCAGTGTATAGGACATTATAGGGAGTACCCCTCCGGGAAATAATTGATTATTCAACGTAAAACAGACATTAGAAGATAAACTTGATCTGAACTGATTTCAAGTCAACAACCCCATGTTGTGCCATCATCGGAGGCAATACGAGAAGCAGGCCAAGTAGAATACTCAATACTGTGCAGAATGTTGTAGAAGATGATTACAGGATCAAGGCCCAAGGTCAACTAACTCTTCTCAAGCAAACGCTTCCAATTCATTTTAAAATTATTTTAAACAATTAATTTAAAAAGTAATCAGTGATATAAATTCAAGTACTGTATTTATTCGAATAAGCGCCTAACCTCGAATTAGCGCCCACCTCGAATAAGCGCCCACCTCGAATAAGCGCCCATGCTAAAGGCAGAAAAAGTTAATGAGCGCCCAGCCTCGAATAAGCGCCCACCCTACCACACTCCCTCCCACAAAAATTCCAATAAGAGATAATATGAGACCCTCCCGAAGACGGAGTTTTCTTCAGAGTATTTTACAGAAACCTTGCTTTGCTACGTCTTCGCTTTTTGTTAGTACCATTTACTGTTTTTTGCAAAATACACTACTACACTTGCTGAGAATGGTGAGAATGGCGCCCAGCCTCGAATAAACGCCCACTCTCAAGGTCCAAAAATTTAATAAGCGCCCAGGGCGGTTAATCGAATAAATACGGTAGCTTTTTATGGCGCGCCGTTTGTTTCAAAATCATTTACAAGTTAATGTGATGTTTAATGTGGCGTAACATGTGCTATGAAACGTTCCTGTGAAAGAATCCACCAACTATTGTTATTTTTCATCTTGATATCATGTGACCTTTTCTACCTTGATATCATTTTACGACCGTGATATGACATTTTCTTCCTAGATATCATTTTGCTAACCTGATGTAACATTTCCTATCTTTGACTTTTTCCGCCTTGAAATCATTTTACACTTCCGTGATGGAGCATTTTGTACCTTGGCCACATTTTACTACCGTGATGGAACATTTTCTACCTTGATACCATTTTACTACGGTAATGTGACTTTTTATACCTTGATATCATTGTACTACTGATATGTGACCTTTTCTACGTTGATTTTATTTTATTACCCTCATGTAACATTTTCTACCTTGATAACATCTTACTACCGTGATGAAACATTTTTTACCTCGATATCATTTTACTACCGTAATGTGATTTTTTCCACCTTGATAACATTTTACCACCGTGATGGAACATTTGTACCTTGATCGCATTTTACTACCGTGATGCAACATTTTCTACATTGATATCAGTTTGGTCCAAAAATATTGGGGGGGGGGGGTGGTT